CAGACCTCTTTTTATCTGAGCATTCTGCATTCTGTTTTTCCCCTCATTCTTCTTCCTTCTCCTTCTATTACATTTCTACCTTTGTCAAAACTGCAGTTGACATTGCTATAACCCTTGCAGAAAATCTAGACCTGCACCTTTACAGTTTGATTTTCAGGTTAATTTTTCTGTGAAATGCCTTAATTAGCTGATGCACCATCTTTATCCAAGAAATTCTTGCTCTTCACCTTGGCAGAGGCGCATGAGTGAACATTTGTAGGAACACACACAGCAAATGAGAATACTATGATCTGCACTTGATCTCAGGAAACCGGTTTCCTCACCCCAGGCAGTAGTCTGGACTGCTGCAACACTTCATTTCCCTCATAAGCAAGGTACCACAGTCAGGCACATGGAAACAAGGATAAAGAGAGATGAACTCAACTCAAGAGCAAAGTCTGTCATAGTTCCTCAGAATACAATCCATACTACTGCTTCTACAAAGCCACAGCTGTATGGTGGTAGCCAGCTGTGTAGAATAAAGCCCATCTGGTTAGCACTGGGGCTGAATAGAAGTCAGCCATTTAACATGCCGTCACAAATGAGCCAAGCTTAACCCACAAGAAGAGGGTAACACAGGGTCACATGCTAACACTGCTTCACAATTTTGCCTACTATTTGCAAAACAAATCATTATTATACTGATAGAAATTCCAAATGATCAAGCACTGTGACTCATTTTCAGTTCAGCAGTGGTACTTAGGTAGTAGGATGTAATCATAGTCACAAAGTAACCTATTTTAAAATTAAAGGGACAGGACTCCTGCCAAAACACAGATGTACAGTCAACTTTCCTCTATTAACACCTGCACTGAAAATATGCCAGTAAACTGAGCAGGTAGGTAACTTTTTTCAAAGGACTTTGTGTTACCAAGCAGAACAGCTCCAGTAAAGACAGCTTTTTTTTTTTTCTGTTTGATATACAGCTTAATCTTCCTATTTCTCAAGAAAAAACAAATGAGAAGCCACAGCAGCTTACTGCATCCTGCACTATTCTTAAACACACAAAACAAACCAAAACGAAAAGCCACAACACACATCTATACCAGTTAGCATGGGAAGTCAGTAACTCAAAGATTAGAACTTAAACAAGTGCTGTTTTGCAACACAACATTGGTAATATTTTAAATCCAGAAAAAACTATGCAATTCGATTTCAAGAACACCAACAAAACCATAGCTGTATCAATACAGAAAACAATTTAATTTGTTTCAAAATAAATATCTGACATACAAAGCACATACAGTGAAAAAGGGTCACAGTAAATTACAAATGGAGATACTTGCTCATTCACCGAGAAAAGCCCTTGATATTCCCAATTTCATGGCATCAAATTTATCATTCTTGCTGATTTAAGCACAGCACTAAACAAATATGGATCCCAGAGCTTTCTTTCACAGGTACTGGTACGGATAATTTACTGCAGTGATCCAATTTAAAAATCAGTAGGGACCACTAAATTGCTACATAAAAGAAAGAGCGAATGAGGTGCTTTTTCCTTAGTGTCAGCAGCCTGTGATTATGTTTATTAGATTTTCCTGAAAGGGCTTCACATTTTCTCAAATATGTAGGAGAACTGTATTTCCCCTCTGAGCCCTTACATTAGCATTTTGTGCCTCAGTCCTTGAATACAAGTAAAAGATGAATTTTTCAATTTATTTTAGAAGTTTGTACCATCTGGATGGCACAGAACCAAGCAATGAAACTTCCTTACCTGCACAGTATCTGCTATTATCACAGAGCTAGCTTCTGCAGAAAATAAGTAATGCTGACATTTTATGAAAAAAGTATTTTTGAATCCACATTTAAATTCAATTCTATTACTCAATTAGAATCATAGAATCATATTAGAATACTAGAATCATTTTATTATCATATTGATAATTAATTTTTTAAATAATGGACTTCTTAAGTTTCTATCCTTAAAAGGCAATATAAACCAGCAAGGCCTGACTCTCCCTGTGATTTTAAGAAAAATATAGCACAATAGACGTTACACTACAAAGATACACTAACCAATTTCAGTATATATAGTTTAACCACCAATACTTGCACCTCAGCAGTTAAAAGTTACAGACAATTATCACAGATCAGCGTAACCTACTAACATCAAGCACGTAAGGGCTTGCGATCTTGCTTTATGGTGTTATTTCTCCTCACCAGGAAGATGATGACACTAGGGGCCATACCTACTTTTGCACATGGAAATCAAATTTTGACACAGCTTTAACAGAACATGCTATTCTAGCTTAATGGTCTTTGCTACCATTAATCTTAGCACTATAAGGTACGGTACTTTATGAAAGTATTTAAGGAGCAGTTAGTATAATTTTTGGAAACAGAACCAGGAAGTCCTACATGGTGTAAAAACAAATCACAGTTCCCCCAGATGCTTGTCCAACTCCTTTTGATTTCCTGCTCTGCCAGAGCTCTTGCAGCACCTCCAGCTATGCTCTTCCCTTCCATGTCTCAGTTCCAGCCTGTAAAACGGGCAAGAACTGTACTTCCTTAGTTAACAAGGGGTCTGTACAACAAATGTTGCAATACAGGTGCCTAACAACAAAAAGGTTCAATGCAGATTGTACAAAATAAACAGCTGCATTTGTTTGGATAATACTATCACATATATAGTTAGCAGCTCAGAAACTGTTGGAAGACATAGTGGCTCATGATTATAATATATTAAAAATCCTTAAAACATGCAAATTAAAACATTAGTGGACAGTGCTCCCCTTGAACACCCATCAAAGGGAGCAAAACATAAAACTGACAGCATAAAAATGACAACAGAAGTATAAAATTAAATAAAAGGCAATAAAGGATGGATGCATTAGCGAATTGCTTTGTGTGTAAGCAATCCCAACTGGCATTAGCTGCTCCAACAACCCCAGTGGGTCCTGATACTTTATTTATCTGCAAGGGAGAACAGACAAGTCTTACACTGAAGCATCACTCCTATGGCAAGCTTGTGCACAGCAAAGGGTAGGTCTACCCACAGGATCTCTGCAAAAGCACTTTAACCTAAGAAAACTTAGACAAAAAACAATTACCAACTGGAAACAGTTGCCACATTGGGTAGGTAATCTTTCAGTAGGACAAAAACTCTTCTGCTTCACATTTGGGGTTGGGAGGCATTTTTTGGTCAGTTGCCAAGTATCTCTACTACCAGAGACTTCTGTTACAGCCTCTGCATCACTGTTAGGTGTTGACAGCACAGCAGCATGAACATATATACAGTTCTTTTCCCCAGAAAAATCTCAAGTTATCAGGACACAAACAGAATTTCAGGTGTTTGATTTGTTAGTACAGAAACAGTCAAACTGTGGTAAGGAAGCAGGCACAAGGACAGAATGTTTTTGCCAGCACTGATAAAACTTGGTGTTATCACTTAGGCAGCCTAAAGGCTGCAGTAAAAATCAAAGCTGATGAAGAGTGCAGGTCAGTTGCCCTATTTATTTTGCTTGGAAGTTACTCTTATCCCTTTGTTCCATGTTTTCTTGGCACATGAGAGTTAAGTTTTACGAGGCCACAAGTAAAATCCAGGCCTTATTTGTCAAGGAACTCCATGCAAAGCCAAAAATACACTAGTAGTCAAATCAAATCTCACTTTCTCCACTTGACCCATTTTTAAGACTTAATAGAAAGAGTTAGCAAGAAATTCAGTATCCACATGCAAGTTTTACTTCATGGCACTGTCTTCCAACTCTCTACTTACTGAAATCTCATTCACATATTCCTTTTAATCCTCCTTGTGAATTCATAGAGTTGGATCTCAGACTTAGCATCCTTCAGTTACAGTTGCAATACATCAGATCCAATTTAGACTCCTCTCATTTAATAACAGCATACAATTAAAGAAACAGTTGACTGTATCCTTAACAGCAGTCTTAGACCACAAAAATTTGCTCAGAAATAACATGATTTGCTTTCATTACAGAAGTATTTATTTGCCTTCCACTCCCAGTAGAGGGGACCAATTTAGATGATCAAATTAATTTTTAAATCACAGTGGTGCAAAAAAACTGAACAGTCTGACATCACCACTCAAAAAAAATCTACTGTGTAACACAAAGAAGGTCTAGAAAGTGCTGAAGAATTGAAAGTATTAAGTAGGTCTAGATTTCTGCTCTGACTAGACACCATTGTTGCTGTGCTTATTCTCCAGTTAAATTTTGAAGGAAAAGGTCACAAATTTTTGCACTTTAGAAGGCAAAATTCCCTATAAAATAATTTTAAAATGCACAAGACATTGTGTCCCAATACAGAAGCAGCAGTGGGAACATAAGAACATGCACACATACACACAGGACAGCATTCTGCTCAACTTCCAGGTTCAAGCATCAGTATATTCTGTTAGAGAGAAAATAAGCTTGAAGAGCTTGACAAATTACATTTAACACTCCTTTTATTGCAGTAGAAATTTTAGTTTTTATAAAATTCTCAAATTACAGGATATACATATAGTGAATCTCATTGCAAGTCTTTAGCAGCCGTAGAGCATTACTGCATGCAGTTGCTTCTGCAGTGTGCAAGTGTTCTACAAATAGCTAATCATGTTCAGAGAGCAAGACAAGTAGTCAAAGAATATCACATTCAATTACCAACTGTTTTGTCAGTACCAAGAGGTTGAGCAAAAACCAAAGAAGTCTATAAATGCATGGCTCTGATCTAACAAACTAATACAACTGGAAAGTCTGAATAATAACCACAGCAAAAACAAGATAATTCAATAGTTACAGAAAAATACTTTGCCTGTTTTCAAAACTGTTTTACATAAAACTTCTCTGAACAAGGAAGAGTAGTTAAGTACAGTGCTCTAGAAGTTTACAAAAGGCCAATGAAACCCATTTAATTTTATGCAATTAGAATACTTACATTAACTACACAAGAGTCAGCAAATGCTTTGCCCTGAATTTATGGAAAGAAGTTGTGGTCAGATAGATTTTATTCCCCCCCCACCCCCACCCCACTACCTACCTTTCAGCTGCTGGATGAATGCATAATCAGCACTCAAGTTAATATTCACGTCTGTAGTCATGACACTGGCTTAGGATCAGTCATCGGATGGATTTATGCCAAGAAATCCTACACTCATTTGTTTCAGAAGCTGCCTAAACAGGTGCAATCCTTTATGCAAATTTCCCATCACAATGAGAGTCTCAGAAACTGGAATAACCATTTATATAGAGCTAGCTACAGATTAATTTTCTAAAAAGCTGACATGCTCGAATTACTGCAGTCTCACATTTGTGTAGACACAAGGACAAATATGCAATGATTCTTCAAAAGTTACTTCGTTTACATTGATTAGTACATGTAAGAGATGGCTAAAAGTTTAAGCATTGCATCTTTGTCTGAAAAGCCTACAGGTCAGCAATTTGGCTTGGTAAAACATTTTGTTATGACAAGACAACTGCAGAGTTTTCTGTGATCAGTCTTGAGACTTCTTCCAACAACATAATGTAAGACTATGTCACAAGGTAGAAACTTGGAAAAGTTCTAAGTAGTATTAATAAAAATAACCTCTCCTTCAGAAAAGGTATTAACTATGTCAGCTTCATAGATTTTAATCCTTTTTGTTAAATTCAAAGTGGGTCATAAATTTACACTGAGTATAGTAATTTAGATGAAATGGTTCTACAGATAAATTTAGGAAGCGGAAGAATACTGTCCAAAATGTACTGCATAGTTATGTATACCAACTGCTATCCACTGGAGACATCCTATAGCAGCTATAGTTCCAACTAATATAAACCTACTGAGTACAGACCTTAAAGATTTAATCAGCCTCAAACAACTGTCGATTCCTAAAAAAAAACTAATTCTGTATGACTGGGCATGTTTTAGATAGGATGCAGCTACTTTTTTCACCAATTAGCAATACAGCACAGTAATTTTAAGTTTCCATTACTTGCTTTTGATATGCTAAATTTCATATTATCTCCAGAAAAGCATATACACATTTTTATACAGCCTGGAGTGAGATCAGTGTAAAACCAGGAATTTTTAATCATCAGCAGAAGTGCTAGCTGCTCATAATGTTCACAAGACACAAGTGCCTGAAATTTGGCTATGCAACAGTTGGTGCCAATCTGCTTATGAAGGAAATGCTGCTGAGGCATAGTCTTCTTACAAAAACAGGGCACGAGGGCTTCATTATTAAGTGTTCAACAACAATCCTCAGCTCGGTGAAGAGAGTCCTGAAAAATCAGATTTAAAGAGTTTTAAAAATCCTACAGAATTTATCAGAAGTAAGTGTCATTTAAATCTTTAATTCACTTCTTTTCTCAACCCCAACACACACTCTAGTTAGCAAGTTCTTCAGATCAACTCAAGTGTTACTGTATCTTGCAAGAGCTTCAGAATTACTGTCCTTTAAACATTAACATTTTAATTAACTTTAGTTCATTGGCTTCCAGCTGCTTACAAAGAAACAGAAAAGTTCCACCTTCAAGGAAAAAAAAACCAGCCAACCAACCAAAAAAAAAAAAAAAAACCAACAAAAAGCACACAAGGCACACCACCCCCCTCATATTATTAAAAAAAAAAAAAAATAGGGTAATGCTTTATCAAAAAGAGTGTAAGGAGCTGGAAGGTGATTGTGTGTTTGTGCTGCTTGTTGCCAAAATGCAAGAACTCTGCACTCTAAAAGCATTAGAAGACAGACATGAGATATACAACCCACAACACCAGTTCCCCTTAAAACTACATAAATGCCAGCAGAATTTTGGGTAAACTAGCTCTATTGAAAGCTAGTTCTATTATTGTACAATTTAAATTATTTTTAGATACCGAAGTAATAAAGCACCCTTATAGATTTTTTTGTTGTTGTTAAAAAGAATACATGAACCAAGATGGAACAAATAGTTTCTTACAAAACAGTAGGGAATAGGAGGTGATGAAGTTTATGATTCTCAGACCCGTCTTTGCATACCATGGCAGCAGAAAACACTTTATTGGTTACTGTAGCAAACCATTTTCTAATAGAATAGTGATCAGACCGGAAAGTATGTTCACAAAACTTTATGCTATGCAACACTTGTAATAAGAAAGATTCCAAGAAAGCACTAACTTGAGTAAATCCTCATAGAAATATATATGGTTTCAGAGTTCAAAGCAATAGTATTGGCCTGACCAACTTTCAAACAAAATCAATAAGGCTCTATTTCAAGCACAGTAAACCTGACTCATGAATTACCTTACAATTAAGGTTACTAATGAATTATGTTCATTACCTAAAGGAGGTAATGAACCTGTTTAAGATCATCCACAGTTTGGTGGTTTTTTTCCTGTCAATGTAACACAAGTTCTTAAGTTCCTGTCAATGTATAGACTAACCCTTAGATAGGCCTGCCATCTAAAAATAAGGCTATCTTTCTGGTAAATGGCTGCAGAACAACTGAAAGATTTTGTTCTCCAAAGCATAGTTTTAATTACACAAGCATGTTCTGTAAGCTCCCATTCAAGGATGGGAAAAACGTTCAGTTACACAAAATAAATGGAACCCTGAACCAGCATCCAGGTGTATTCCACACTGTAATTGTAGAGACTTAGTATTATGAAGTATGCATTCATTTTAGAATTAAAAATTTCTGAATGCCTAAACACTATGCAGTTAAACATGAACTTCCAAAATCAGTTTAGTGCTTACCGACAGTATGGATTTCGCCGAGAAGAGTAGCGTAATGTAAGAAATCTGTAGTAAATGAATGGCTGGAGCAGACTCCCTTGCCCACTGAAAGAGAATACAGAAGTAGAGCTTAATACTGACCAAAAAAAAAAAAAAACAAACAAACAAAACCAACCCAACAACAAAAAAAAAAAAAACAAACGCAACAACAAACAAAACAGGGCTTTAGCTAGATTGAGTCACATTGGTTCAGGTTACATGTAACTGACAAGAAAAAGCACGTAACCATACACTTACAAAGACAGAAACTTACATTATAGAATAAAACTGCTCAAAGAAGCAGTTTAAAAAAGTGCTGTTCTTGTATGGATTTTACATTTAAGAAGTTTTGTATATGTTTCATTTCTGGCAGTGGGCAAAGGATTACAGAAGTGTGGTGACTGTTAAGTATTAAGAAAAGCTTGCTGGTCAAGGATAGAAACTGGTGGACATAAATAGTACAGTTACAGCAACTTTTGTCAGCTCTATTCATAGTGCTTTGAATATCTGAACCATATTTGTAGTATCTTTTGCAGAACATCTCAGAACAGGCAGGAGACTATTACAGATGTACTGAGACATTAATGGCAAGCTGATACCCGACTACTTCAGCTGCACTGAAATTAGGTTTTGGTATTTCACAAAGCTGCTGTTTCATGTGACAGTGCTGTAAAATAGTAGCATACAAATCATACACAGCAAAGCACAAAAGTACCGTGAGTTTAATTTTAATGACCGAAGTTTCTTTACATAATACAGTATAAAAAGCTATGAAGTTGAACATGACAGTTCAAGTAACTAGAGCTCCTTCAAGTATGAGCAGTGTCTTTAACCAGGGGGAAAAAAAAAGTAACAGAAGCCAGCTACACGAGGGGAGAAAGGAAATACTGCACCTGTAGAGTATCTACAAGCAATTTACTATGTTAAACCAGTTTAAAGAACAAATTCTCACAATAGCTGCATTTAACGATTTTATGATCTTCAAATTTGGTATATGATCTTTTATAAGCTTCAGTATCTACTAGATGACCTATCAAGTAGTAATACTTCACATACTAAATTCTCCAGAGAGCGAGGGAGGGAATAAAAAAATGTGCTCCTAAAGAGAAGCTTAAAGCACTTGAAAGTTTCAGATACTGGATACAAAGTGTATCTTTCAGTTAAGTGACCTTAAATGAAATTGAGTACTTCCAGGCTGAAGCATTGAAGTGTTCAGCAGACTTATCAAAAGATAAAGACAAATTACGCATTCTATCAACTTCCAAGAAGCATACTCCCCTTCCAAATATTAAAAGACAGATCATTATGCCTATATGACTTCAGAAGGATTCCAACACGCATATGCTCAAGATCCCCAAAATGAATTCAACATGCTGCAGAGCGGGTAAAACCAAATGGAATCAAAAATAGAAACAAGGTTCACTGGTCAGAAGTAACACAGGAAAGGACATAACCTACTCTTGCTTGCACACTTTTAGCAGAATTAAATACCATGCCACTTAAATTTCTAGAATCTGATAGTCAAAATTAAGACTTCACTTTTATTGAAGATCTTAATATTCCATTACACTGACCAAAATTAAACTTACCAAACAGTGCAGAAGAACACAAGTTACAGGCCTGAAAAACTCCGATTTGACACAACAATGTCACCCAGGCTATGAAAGGGAATGGTTTTTTTGGTGCCGAGTTATATCAGAGTGAACACTTTTGATTTCATGATTCACCAACTTGAAAAGTCTAGGAATCAAACAACTTAAATTCAAGCTTCGGTCAGCCAGAACCATACAAATGGAGATCTGTGACCCACAGAAAACTCAACTTCAAAAAGTAATCACGTGTAGAAAGTTTCTAATCCTGACAATATTTATGGTCATTCTTACCTGAACAGCATAAAAACTGTAGCTGGCATTAGGAAAATTTCATTGCAAGCAATGAATTTCAGAATATTCTGTTGATTAGCATTCAGTTTCTCCAAAATATTTCTCAGAAAGGGCAGGCTGCTTGAACTTCGTGCCTTTAAAGACAAAAAAAAATTAATGCCAGAAAACACACAAGTTACATCTATCTACTCTAGCACAAAGAAATCAAAATATTAACAATTATAATTTACAACTCATTTCAACAGTTTAAGACTAGATCCTTTAAAGGTATTGAGATTAGTATCCCAAAGAAAACTACCATAAACTTGGAGCCCCATAATTATATAGAGTTCAATGAAAAACATGAGGTGTTGCAATTCCCTCACCCACCCATTTTAGATTTAACTGCATAGAGAAGGCCACGAGCCTTGCTCTGCCCACCAGGAGGAAGTACCTATGGTAGCAAGATAGCCTAGCTAGGAACACAAGAAGCTGGGAGTTACATTAACTGCACAAAGCAGTTCATTCAGCAGAAAGGCCAACTGGCAAGTACTTTGCTTGCTATCCTCACCCTGCAGTTTGTTATTTTACTACTGAAATAGAACATTAAATTTCACAGACTATGTTTTAGCTCGAAAAGACATGTCTTAAGTTTCAACTTAACTGTTAAACTGCTTCTGTTCCCTTCAAAGAACAGCATTTGAAAAAAATAATTAGTGTCAACATATCACTGAGTTGTAACAGAAGGAGGGGGTAGGAAGGGCAACAGAAAAGATTTCTCAGATTCTCTGTGCTGAGATTCCATACTACAGTCTCACTCTAACTCCCCTAGTGTAGCTAAAGGAAACGACAGCTGCAACTCAAACCCACTTTTAAACCCCAAGAGTATCAGCAGTATGAATTGTATCATACATTATATCATACTTACATCAAGAACCTTCTTTGTATATGTAGCAGCATGAAGCAAAGAGAACAGCAGAACTGGAAAAATACTCACTGAAGCAAGCAATAAGGAAAATTATAGGCTGCACAAGCACTTAATTTCTCTGTCACATTATGCTAACACACAAGCCGTATCTTGATGGCCCTTCACAACAGGTTGGCTGGAATGACCTATACTGTGTTAAGACATGCATGTGTCTAATACCTATTATTTATAACTCTTCCCTTTTGCTTCTTACACCTCTTAGCTACACTTTATTAACTTCAAAACATGTGTGTATGCGAAAGTACAACATACACGAGCGCATTTCTACTGAAATGCATTCTTTCTGCATGAAAGACACAAAGGAGGTTATTACTTAAAATCTAACAAATACAAGTTGTCATAGTATTATTAAGAAATGCATTTCTTTACCAAAGAAAATGCAGTTGACAGACATCCAGATTATAGAGAGCAAGAACACAGACATTCCTCTGCCAGAGACATTAAAAGTAGGACATTTTTAAGAGTGGCACAAAGAAAAATCAGTTTTTGCATATGACCTTTGACAAGCCACAGAATCCTTTTTTGCAGACCCTGTTTAATAACTTATCTGAAAAAACTACTGCTTAATAATTCCTCTCTACATAATGCATGTCCTACTTACACCGAGGAATCGTGCATAAACCCTGTACTGGTAATAAAAGATAAAGTTGCCAACTTCTCAAAGTATCACTTGAGGCTGGTCATAAAATCCACCAAATTGAAGTCTCAGGAAAAAAAAAAAAAAACCTAAGTAGCCAGAGACTGCATTGCACTAGTTAGAGGTGATTAATCTGAACATGGATCAATTAACATAAGCCTCTCCCATTTTACATAGAGTATGTTCTATGAATAGCAAACACATTCTAGTTCAAACTAGTTTTTCAAATCATGGCACAAGTAATGAAGAGAATCAAGTTTAAGATGTTTAAAGACATTACCAGGATGACACAAAGGATACTTGTAACAGGGTAGGAATTCACAAAGATAAGAGAGTACAACAGGTAGTGGCAGCTGTCCTCCAGCAAAGCCTGGGCCAGAAACGCCCTGCTAAGCTGAAAATGGGGTAGCCTTTGGTGTAGTCGGAGGGCACTAGTGAGAGCATTTGCCAGCAAGGCACGCTGATAAAAGCTTGCTGCTTCATGCAACCTGCAAATCATCAGAGGAGATGTTACCATATAAACCAAGCCCCAGCTCAGAAGTCTTCCACTCTTGAGAATTGCATCACAATCGCATAATACCTGAAGTATTTCTATTATTGTATATAAGCACTGTTACCAAAATACAACTCAAAAACTGATAACACTGACTTACTGTAAGTGCCACAGGTAAAACAATTCAATATATTACTTCATCATTACACATGAAGACATCCATTTGCCACTCACTACTTTACAGCTGATCAACACATTTTCCAAACGCATCTAAAAGTGGTTTAAACCAATATAAACTCTGACAAAAAGTATCCAAGTAAGCTGAACAATAGAAATTTACCCTTACATTAAAAATAACTCTATAAAAAGGAGGTGCAGTTACTTCATAAATTATTAATGCAATTTTATAACATTACAATACATACCCTAGAAGAGGCAGGACAAATAAAGCTGAGCAGTAAACTGTGAACAAGCGGGAAATCCACATTGCTGTATCCAACTTGTTAGCCATCAGAAATTGCTACATTAAAAGAAAAAAAAACAACCCCACAGAAGTTGATATCCTAATATTTGCATACACTGAACATTCTTCCCTTCTGCAATAAACTGAAAGCCTGCCTCCAACTTTGAACAGAAACAAATCATAGCTTCAAGTGTTCTCTGATACTTGACTCATATAATGTTGCTAACATGAACAATAGGTAGTCTACCTCAGAACCACAGAGCTCCTTTATACACTACAAGCAAATATAGTAAGATCTTTTGTAGAAATAGTTCTACACAAACCACCCTCACCACACTGCCAGCTTCAAAAATGCTATTATGCAAGGTCTTTGGACCTCACCAACTTTTGCAATTATTGATTCAAGGTTCCTTTTAAAATATACTGCACACACCTATAACTAAATCCGCACAAATCTTACTGAAACAAAAAATGAAGGGGTCAGGCACAGTTGGCATAACTATGTCATAAGGAGTACAGCATCATTTTGGCCTACATATTCTTGGCCTCCAAAAAGCAGAAACCTTTTAACAGTAACCCAGCATCTCTCCTGTTGTTGAGCTCTCCTTAACGACAGCCCTCTCCACTCCTGATACAGTCTCCATATCAGAAAGGCTCTAATGAAACACAGCATGCTTTTGGCTATTCGGTGCCCAAGAGTCAAAGCATCAGCTTCCCTTCACCATAACGAGCTCAAGGGGATTTTTCCGAATTTGAACCTGCTTTTGAAGACTGCTCTTGTCCTCTGCATTCCTAGGGCAGGTTCAAAAATTGAAAATTAAAATTAAAATGACCAGAAATTACCCTAAGTAACCTGCAAGCGCCTTCATATCATTATCTCCTGTCCTGCTTGCACAATACAGCTACACGGAATTAGTTTTGAGAGAGACGTTTTCAAGAACGGCGGCGCAGCAACATCATGTTCTCCGCAAGTGAAAGGCTGTCCCACTGCTCGTCCAGGGCATACTCCGATTGGCGCAGGACCCTCCCGGCACCACAAGGGGTGCCCGCGCTGCTGGAGAAGCGCCGCGGCCGGCCCAGGGCCCTCATGCCCCCCGCAAGGGTCGGGCCGGCACCGCGACCCGCTCCATCCCCTCCCCAACAAAACCCTGGCCGGGGGCTCCTTACCACAGCTCCGCCACCGGCCCCGCCCGGCATGCGTCCATTCTGCGTGGAGTCCGCCATGGCCACACCTGCGTGGAGAGAAACGCCTCAGCTAGAGCTAGAGCTAGAGCTGGGACCGGAGCTGAGACGACCACGGCAGCCACAACCACCCCCACCCCTCAAACTGCCGACCCAGCCGCCCGCAACCCACCGGCAGCGCCACCAACGCACGCTCACCGGATACCATAAGGCGTCACTTCCAGCAAGCCGCGGGGCCTTCTGGGCAATGTAGGCCCGGCTTGGAGACGTTCTCAACAGCGCCTGCCGACGTCCCGCGGGCTGAGTGGGAGGTGGCTCGGGAGCGGTCCCGTGGAGGGCCCGGGAGTGCGTCTACCTGGGCGAAGCCGCTGAGGAGGAGGCCCGACCCGGCCCTTGCTGCGGCGCAGCGCCTTGCGAGCACTGCTCCTGGGCTGGCCTCGGCACTGGGTCCTCTATTATGTGAAAGGGGAAAACAAGCGCTGTGTGCCCAGACATGCATACTGCAAGTGATACTACATTAGCATGTAGCAGCTTTGACATAAGTTTCTGAAATCATTGGGGAATAATCATTAACACTAAAGCCAGGGAGCTTTAATCAAGTACAGATACATCAGCAACATTGTACAATGTCTGAGTTGGATAGCATGAAGCAGAAGCTCCCTGCTCACTCTGCAACATGTAACATAGGCTATTTACAAGGTCTGGAAAAGCGTTAATTCATATAATAATTCAATTATAGAATTATATAATAGTTTGGGTTGGAAGGGAACTTAAAGCTCATCTAGTTCCAACCCCCTTCCATGGGCAGGGACACCTCACACTAGACCATGTTGCCCAAGGCTCTGTCCAAACTGGCCTTGAACGCTACCAGAAATGGGGCATCCACAACTCCTGCAGGCAACCTGTTCCAGTGGTCACCACCCTCACAGTAAAGACCTTCTTCTCAGTATCTAATTTAAATCTACCTTCATCTAGTTTAAAGCCCTTCTGGTATACAGCCTTTTCTGATCCTTAATACTGATTTTTTTGTTTTAATGACCTGTGCCAGATAGCTACGTGAGCATGTTTTCGTTCTGAGGTGGAAGTCTTTAAATCTAGTATAACTTGGCTGAAGTGGTATCGAAGTAAAGGAAAACAGACTGTGGGCCTCAAGACTGAGACCTTAGACTTTTAGCTCTTGTAGCTTCATGTGGTTTGTACGCAGGGGTTTCTCTCAAGGACGTGCAGCAGATTCCCCCTTCTGGCAGCAAGGGTTCCAGGGTAGCAAGCCATCTGCTCCAGTTCCTAATAATTCCCAGATAACTTCAGCTACTCTGGAGCAGCAAAAAAGACAGTTTTATGACCAAAGATGTTGGAATCAACATCCACAATCACCCTCATTTCTGACTTGTAGTGATTAAACGTGAAGATTGGTGGGAAGAGAGTCGGGAAGACATCGGGAGAGTGAATGTGTAATGATGTTGAAGGGGAGGGAGCAAAAGAAGAGTCAGCTGAAAGGGATTGTAATAGCATAACAATTACACGTAAATTAAGCCTTTCAGCGAGTTAACGCTTTTGAAATTGAAGATGCAGAAACTGCTTTTCCAATTCCTTTCCCAGCCACTCATCACTCACTAAAGTGGCTGCGAAGTAGGTGTAAGAACTACCCGCTGTTTTGGGAGCATTTTTTCTACAGGTTGAGGAGACTCGAGTAAAAAGCTCTATAGAATTGGGACTCTCTGTGTGTCTGCTGCGTGTTATCAAATGTGCAATAAAACTGACAAAACATTTATGCTAAACAAAAATTAAGGCTTTGCATATATATATATATAATTTACTTTGTAATTTAAGTTTAATCATTACCAGATTATTTTATTATAAAAATAAAATATTAATATGTCCACAAGATTTATCTAGATGCAACTGAAATGCGTAAATACACATTAAAGACCAGATGTTTGAGACTGCCAAACTGGAATGTCACAAGCAAAAAAAATTGATCAATCTTCACGATTATGTATTTTTAAACAGACCTAAGTTGGCAAATCCATGTCTTTATCAGGAATGCTCATTCATTTCTTAACATTTGTAATTAAGGAAGGACTGAATACATACACATGCAATGCATTGATTTCTAGAGTCTGGTTTGCTATCTGTCAGTCATAACATTTAAGTTTGTATTTCCTTTTAGCAAAATTGTCTTTCACGTATTTCCCTTAATTTCATTTAAATAGAATGCTTTATGCCCAAAAAGTTAATGGTTTAAAAGGTGCTTACTTTAGAAAATTTAATACAGAACATCATACTTGGTCCTTTGCAGCCATAAAGTCCCCTTTGGTTTATATCAATTTTTCCTTTCCAGACTTTTCCCTTCACCTTTTTTCTTCATCTGTTGTCAGTTTTTGTTTGATATAGTCTCTTCTATTGAGCAGTTCAGACCACGCTACTGTTCACTTTAACTTTAGAGAAGACGTTAAATTATATCTTAAGAAATCAAGTGTCAGCTATTAGCTTCTCCCTTTCCCAATTCTCCTCTGCTATAATATTGCTGATTGAGCAGAGAGAAGGAGCAGAAATTGATTCCCGTGTTATTAATAATTTGGTTTCCAACAGTCGTAAGGGGATTCTTCTGGACCATCAAGGCACCAGTTTGCTTTCGTAGATGACTGATAGTTCAGATGTTTAGAAGAATATCAGTGTAATTGCTGAGGACTTATGTACCTCATTAGCAACGTAGTCCCATTTCTCCTTTTTGGCAGTCCAACAAGATCAGCACAAACATATCTGAAACTGTAACTAACACATCTCTGTTTCCCCCCCCCGGAAATTTAATAAGGCTATCAGAGAATTATTGGCAGTAACAATATTGGGATCAGTTCTCTCTTAATTTAAAAAATGATGAATGCAAAGGGATATATTTTGACCTTTTGGGCCCAAATGTATACACCTACTTCCACCTGTACTAGTACAACCCGCTTTGAAGTTTTAGGGAGAAAAAAAACAAAACAACCCAAACATAAAACACCTTAGTATGTCTGTAAAAAAATTAACCTGTTTTAGAAATATAGGAAACGAAATAGGCAATGCTTTCAGTTTTTTAGCTCTGTCTGAGATTCTCCAGACACAGTGCAAGTTTACTAATGCTCACAACATCACTATTAGTTAGACGTACAAAGAAGGTTTTGGGTAAAAACAAGGTTAGTAATTTGATTGTAGGCACACAAGCAGTACTGTAGCTGGGCTGGAAATGGAATCCACAACTCCAGAGTCCCCACTGCTGCTTTCCTTCTTATTCACTATGTGTTTTCAGGTGAAATCATATGCAAAACTTCGTATGTAATTTGAAGCCAGTTTTACTATCTGAAAAAGAAGGAGGCTTTTATGGTGTTTCAGACTAATTACTGAAAACATCATTACAGACACTATGGAAATATTTTATAAACAACAATTATTATTAAACAAATCTTGACAGCCAAAATAAATATTTTCTAGGACCAGTATTTTGCATTATGGGTTGTTTTAAATTTGAACTTTTTTTTTGTCTTTTTAATAGCATCACCATGAGAAGCATGAAATCTTTTGTAGTGTCTGGTGGCCTCACTTCTCAATCATTTTAAGAGAAGCTGATGTAATATTGTTTAGGTGGTGTTCACCACCTTGCAGCATGGAGCACTTGAGGTTTAGATAATGATATATCTATTTTGTCTTTCTTGATTTGAAAGAAGATACTGTTGCTAACATCTTTATACAGTTTTCATTTTTTCGAATAAAAAAGAGAACATTCCTCCAAGGTCGATAGTATTGCAGTTCCTCAGAGCCAAACTAGCTCCATTATTTGTATCAGTAGTGTATAACGCAAAGCTAAAATAAGTTTTTATGCAAAGTTTAATGAACAATTTGGCTCTTGTTTGTGGTTATCTCAAGTTGGCTGTCCAAATCTCAAGAAACAATAAAGGACATCGGGTCAATGCCCATTACATTTTTCAGAAAAAGAAACAGAAGTCTTCTGTCTCTCTCTACCAGATTTTTTTGTGTGTATGTGATTTTTGCTCAATGGTGTGTAGCAATATCAAACATGGTCTTCTTTCTTTGCCCTCACAGCTGGAATTTCCATTTACTCACCCTTCCTGGAAGGATTACCCCTTTTAATCACTGAGTGCCTGCCAAAACAGTGAAAAAAAGAAACTACAACCTTTTAGAGAATGTGCAAAATAGGAAGATATTCCTTGCAGTTGCTTTTTGTGTCAGCATTTTCGTAACTTTCAGCAGTTTGGTCTATCTCTGTGTTATTAAGACACAGAAGCCACAAGTGTAAGCTTAAGATGATAAAAAGAACTATGATAAATTTATACATATCTTTTTAAAGATTGGTGGTATGGCACAAGGCTTGGCATATGTTTGAATCAGAGAGCAGCCTTACCAATGTATTTTATTTGCAATGTCCAAGCCACTGAGGACATTAAAAATTTTGGAAACACAAGAATAGAAAGAAATATGGACAAATATTCTTTTAATGAATGGAAAGAAATATGGGCAAGTGTTCTTTTAACAAATGCAAGAAAGGTCAGAAAGATTTTAGAATTCTGCAGCAAGAGACCATATCAACAAATGGAGGAACTTAGTGAATTATAAAATTTTCAACTACCTGTACTGCCTTATTAGAAATACTGCAGCAAGAAAGATTGATAAGCATCCTCTTGCAAGCTTGAAGAAGTATCTGACAGTGTATGGATCAATACTGAACACTCTACTGAGCTTGTTGGTAAAAGGCTCATTTTCTCTTATAATTGCAGGCTATAGTGAGGTTATAAAAAGAGGACAAGAGTCAAAATCCCAAAGGTGTGAGCTTTCCCAAGGAGAAGTTCAGTGTGCGATGCAGAGAATGTTAGCCGTATGTATGTATAGAAGCGTGCAAAGAAATATTCCCTTTCTGAAACACTGCCTGTTACACATGAACTGAGAAAAAACCACAGTTTGGCAAGGGTAACACTTGACATGGTACTGCACTAATTACTGGAGACTAATAACTTTGTAATTTCTGGTCCAGTCTTTTTCAGCAGAATTATTCATGAACAGGGTTACATTGCTGGCACTCATTCAGCATAACAGCTGTTTGCAGATAAATAATTAGGAGTACAGGCTGAATGAAAATGAACCACCAAGAAATTTCCTGCTTTTATTGGAAGATGACACAAGCCAAAGGCTTCCTCTGATGTAAGAGTACCAGGCACAATGTGGGGAATTCCACCTCGTTCACATACAAAACTTTTCTCACAACTACAGCAAAGTGTGAGCGGCACATA